TTTGAGAAGCGGAAGATATAAATAGCTTTTCAAGCTTTAAACATTCCAAAAGCTTACTATGTTGTTTCTTAATATGTGTTTCTTGTAGGCAAATTATATCTAATTTTCATTTTTGAAGTTGAGAGAAAATCCTTCTCCTCTTAGAGGGTCCGTTTAGTTAATTTACATTTAAAGAGAGCAGTCCAATTCTTCCTTCCCTTTTGAAAGCCATATTTAAAGAATTTATATTTATCTACTTATGCTTTGCCTTTACACTTCTACCGTTTTTCTTTTCCCTTAGTTCCAGTGTCTGTCCCTCTTGTTGTAAGTCTGTATTCACTATTTCTCCTTCTTCAGAGTGATATGATGTTAGTTCCACTGGTTCAGCACCTTTCCCTCCTTCTTTTGGAGCACCCAATTCTTCCTCTTCAAATGTACTTCTAAATTTTTCATAAAACTCTTGTGCCTTGAAGATTGAGTCCAGCTTGTATCTTATAGAGTTCCAGGTGAAAAATATTCTTTCTGGCATTAGCCACCTAAACATTATCTCTTTCTTAGTCAGCTTCATAGTAAGGAATAAATATTTCTTTCATCCTTCTCTAATCCTCCATGGTATTTGTTTCAAAACAGTCACCTCATGATGATCATCAGCCTTTGAAAGTTTATCATGTGCAGCCCTCAAAACATTGTCTCTTATCGACCTTTTTGCAAATTTAACATGGACTTCCCTCGGAAGTTTGTGTTTCCTAGCATAACTTGAATTCACTCTATAAACAAGGTCAATGTTTATGCCCACCTCTTCATTTTCCAGGTCCAACGCCTCTGCCAGCATAGTAATTATTAATTCCCTTAGGTCCTCATTCTTTCCTTCGGGTATGTTCTGGAATCTCAGATAATTAGATGCCTTCTCCATCTCTAATATAGCAAGTGAATCCCATAATGACTTGCTTGTTTGTTTTATTAATTGTGTTTCTTTGTTTACTGTTTCAATTTTTTCATGGGCTTGTTGTATTTTTTGTGTATTCTGTTCAGTTTTGAGTCGAACATCTGCCAGTTGGTTTGATACATCCTTAACAGAGCTGTCCGATTTGTCAAGATGTTCTCTTTGTTCATTTGCAAAGTTCTTCGGCTCAGCTGACATGTTCCTCTGTTCTGCTAATATATTACTCTGTGCTAAGCTTAATTTTGATATAGAATTTTGCATAGCCTCTTGGGATGCTTGCATAGCTGTTAAAGATGTTTGTATCGCCAAAAGAGTCATTTGTAGATCTTTTTGGTATTTTTCGGCATCTGTGGCTTTAGACGGGTGAGTTGGATTCTGAGCAGCTGATGTAGGTGCTGATGAGGAGGAAGAGTGTGTTTTTTTCATAGTGATAGTAGTTTTTTGCTAGTAATTGCAAGGTAGCAACAAAAAAAGAGAAAGAAGAAAAAAAATCTCCAAGAGAAAAGAGGGAGACTTGTTGTAAATCCAATAGCCACAGGGTGGCAGCAAAGAGTTTTGTCTTTATTTGACGTCACAAAGAGGACTGAAAGAAGAAAATGTCTGCTCATCAAGATAAGTAAAATTTGTTTTTCTATCTCTTAATCTACAGTAGTTTTTTGTTCTGATTCTTTGCCCTTGGGGAGATTAAAAAAAAGAAATCTTTCTTTCCAGCCGCATATTTTCCAAATCTCAATTCCTCTCCCCTAGATTAGTCACCGCTTAAACTCTGCGGGGGGCGGGATTCCTCCCTCTGTCAAGGGGCTTTTCATTTTCTTCTTTGTCCCAATTAGAATCTGCTTCCATTCTTTCATGGGTAATATTGGAAAAGGTAGAAATGCTCACCCAACAGGTCCAATGAACTTCAAGCTGTTATTCTATGCTATATCCGCTCGTCTATGGCTTGCAGGGAGCGGATCTCTCCCCTATGTTGTTCGATGAGAAAATCCTGAGTTTCTTCCAGTACATGTGGAGCCGCTGCCCCACATTGCCCAGAAATATGCTTGGGCTTCTATTCCCTGCCCCGACAGGGCTTGGATAAGCCTCTCACATCTCACTGTAGAACAAATTACTGGCGTAATTACAGGAGCCCCTGTTCTTCACAGCCGTCTCGCCATGACATCAACCAGAAGTCCTACCACATCCAACTTACCTTGATTCATAGATCTTACATTCCAGTTTCCTGTGCAGTATTGTTCTTTACTTTCACTACCAGATACATCCACAACTGAGCATCCTTTCGACTTTCACCCTGTCACATCATTCTTTCTGGAACTAGCCCTCTGCTCTTCCCCAGTAGCACACTGGGCACCTTCTGACCTGAGGGGCTCACCTTCTGGCATAATATCTTTTAGCCTTTGCATACAGTCCATGGGGTTTTCATGGAGTGGGTTGCCATTTCCTTCTCCAGTGGGTCACGTTTTGTCAGAGCTCTCCATGATGGCCTGTCTGTCTTGGGTGGTCCTGCACGGCGTAGCTCATAAGCCACAACAAGGCAGTGATCCATAAAGGGGAGCTTCAATGTACTGATCTTTCCTTGTTTGCTACCATGTATAGCATGGAGACTGGGATTCATTTGTGAATAAGCACAGCTACCCCCTTTGATTTCTTGAAGTCATCACTAGCATAAACTTTTCTACTTTCTCCTTACTGAACTAGTGCCTAATGCTGGCAGGTAGGTCTCCTAAGAAAGCTATGTCAGCTTTTAGCCTCTTAAGTTGGGTAAGTACCTGTTGGCATTTGCTGGGTGTACACAAGTCTCATTCCAGGTAATAATGTTTAATGACATGGCATGTGTTTTAGAGTTGGACCTAAGTGAAGGTGAGGAGTATGGAAACATTTAAGCCAGTGGGGTGTAGTGGATAAGAGCACAGTACTGGGACTCCGGTGATCTAGGTTCTAGTCCCCACTCAGCCATGAAGCCAACTGGATGACTTTGGGTAAGTCACAGACTCTCAGCCCAACCTACCTCACAGGGTTGTTGTTGTGGGGATAAGATTGTGAACAGGAGGAAGAGAATGCAGTAAGCTGCTTTGAGTTCATTGGAAAAAGTGGGATAAAAATCTAATAAATCTAATGATACATAAATAATTTTAATGCCAATGCCACCCTTACCGACATTTCAATGCTATTCATCATTCAATGCAATTGATTGTGGGGCATGCCTGGTTCTGGTCCAGTGACATCTCTCCTCCATTGCAGGGCCTATTCTTGTGCAGCTACCCACATGGATAAAGGAAACATAAGCAATATTTTTAGAGTGATCAAGGAGAGGGCTAAACTGGCAGGCAGCAGCAGTTTTGGTTACTTGAGTAGGACCATGGGGGATGCTCCAACATTGGTCTGGGTTGAAAATCAGAAATAAGAAAGATCGTTCTCATTGTTCTCACTCATAACTGAATCCTGTTGATGGCAATAGGACTCACCAGCTGGTCTCTGGGTAGGGGAAGGAGTGTGCAAAGGAAGTTGGAGAGACAGAAATGGGAGAGGAAGACAAAATAGATAATAGGGAGGAGAAGGAGTGGGAGAGAGAACAAAGGTCCCTGGTATCCTTCCAGCCCCCCCACCTCCAGCCCTTCCCCACCACCCAAGAATCTACTTGTTAGAATATCTGCCTATTTCTCAAATGGTCTCATGCACAGCTGGATTCAACAGAGCCACTTGCTTGTCTCCTGGTGCCTAGAAGAGCCCAAAGGTATTCTGTTTGATTGCCACCCTTGCTGCGCACAGGCTTCCTTTTCCCTTTTTAAACAATTCTGAGCTTTACTCTGCTGTTATAGATTTTAGGGTCTATTTTGAATATTAAATGTTTAATATTTTAGGGTTTATTCTAGAATTTAATTTTGAGAACTGCCCAAAGATTTGATTATTGGATAGCATAGAAATGTTACACACACACAAACATTTTTTCATTTCTAATGCAGGGAGCATTTGCAGAACATTTCTAAAAAGTCAACCCACAAAATCACACTTTCTCACCCCCCCCCCCGAGATTTAAACAGAAAAGCTCTTATCTTTGCTGCTGCCCTTTTACAGGGAGTGAACAAGTTGTGCAATGCTGTCAAATTACTACCACATAAAAGTCCTGGGTTTTTTCCCATTATCTCTCATGGACAGCTGTTCATTGATCATCTATTGAGAATCATGGCACCGAATGTAGTGAGAAATCTGGGCTACAGACAAATGAACTGTCAAGTTTTTTTTTAATGTACATGGAGAAAGCAGCTTTAAGATGGGACAATTGACACCAGAAATTTCAGGGCAGCTATCTTGGCAAATCTAGACAGCATACTAAAAAGCAGAGACATCACCCTGCCAACAAAAGTGTGTATAGTCAAGGCTATGGTTTTCCCAGGTGCAATGTATGGCTGTGAAAGTTGGACCATAAGGAAGGCTGAGTACCGAAGAACTGAGGCCTTTAAATTGTGGTGCTGGAGGAGACTCCTGCGAGTCCCTTGGACTGCAAGGCGATCAAACCAGTCAGCCCTCGAGGAGAGCAACCCTGACTGCTCTTTAGAAGGCCAGATACTGAAGATGAAACTCAAGTACTTTGGCCACCTAATGAGAAGGAAGGACTCCCTGGAGAAGAGCCTAATGCTGGGAACAATTGATACCGAAAGAAGAAGGGGGACGGCAGAGAATGAGGTGGCTAGATGGAGTCACTGAAGCAGTTGGTGTGAGCTTAAGTGGACTCTGGGGGATGGTGGAGGACAGGAAGGCTTGGAGGAATGTTGCTCATGGGGTTGCGATGGGTTGGACACAACTTCGTGACTAACAACAACATCTTTGCACACTCACTCCCCCCCCCCAGATTAGACAATTGCTATCCTGTTGGGTCATATCCAGCAGCTGTTGGGAGAGCAGCTAAGAAGGTGGTTTTAGATACTTCACATTGCTAGAATTGCATGCCAAATATTGTGGGAAATAATCAAATTTAGCAGTATTGCCTCGCCTTTCTTCCCCTGCTCTCCGGAAAAGTCACCTTTTCCAGTAGGTACACCGCATGCTCAGAGCCGGGAAAGAGAGAACAATTAGACTACAGTAGGTGTCAAAATAATCTTTATTAGCAAAGTATACGCTAACAAAAAGAAAAAAGAAAGAAAATGCTCACAGTTACTCCCCTTCCTCCCTGCTACTCTCACTGGGAGTGTAATATGTTAGTTTGGATTAGTGGCTTAGGACCATTGCAGCATTTAATTGACGGATGATAATGGGGGGCGGGGGGGTGAAGATTGAGTTAAAAAAATCCCAGCCTGCCTGCATTTTGGATTATGGCTTGAGCAACTTTTGGCAAGATACCAGGTCCAAGAAGGAATTGTTATCCTAAGCAAGTGGCTAACTACAAGGCTGGTTTTTCCTGGAATGTAATGCAAAGCCAGGCAAAACTATAATGTTGCAAACATGTGGGAAACATATTTTTGGAATTTCTTTTTTTCCCTAGGCTCTTCCCTGAGAGTGTCACTGCCACTTTAAAAATTAGTAAGCAAAGCATGGGAGAATATTTCCCTATTAGCCTAGGCTCAGAGGTGTGTTTGTCAGGACGTTCAGGAGAACAAGGATTCTAGACCCTGACTTGTTCTTCATACCTTGAGGCTGTAGCCTTATGCTTGCATATTTGGTAGTAAGCACCACTGAATTCAGTGGAACATGTTTATTAACAAGCAAATATACAACTGTTCAGGGCTACAGACAGGGATGTGCAGTTTGGGGAAATTATAGAGCTCGAGGTGGGGGCTGAGAGGAGCTATCATGTGGTCAAGGATCGCATCTCCTAGAAACAGACATGAATATGAACAGCAGGCTCTGAAATCCCTTTGGTAGCCCTTCATAGGACTGTACTGCACATTGCTCCTTTTCACTCTGCACATTTTTTTCACAGAGATTGTCTATGCAAGAAAAACATTTTTTTCTTGCTTCTGCCCCAGGTGACCATTGCTATGTCTTAGGGTAGGTCATGTACATGAGTATAATACCAGGTAAAATGTGGTGGTATTACTTTACCCTTCCTTCCTTCCTTTACTCCCTCAAAGCAGCTGTCAAGTTTTTAGCAGTTTCCTTGCATCCAGACACAATCTCCCTTTATTATTTTATATTATGGAAGTGCTCCAGTGTTCCACCATGCTTGGTACCATATAACATGGTAGATATAGGCCTCAACATCCACAGAGCTTGCAGTAAACAGATGCAAAATTGGGGTGAGAAAGAAGTGATCAGTCAGTAGCTATGTCATTCTTCTTAGAACCTGGGCGTGTGTGGGATGTGCACCTGAAGTCTACTCTATGGAGAACCATTTTCAGACCAATAATCTTGGAAGCCAACCACTTTTGACCTGCCCTTTGTTCACAGAGGACAGGAGATAGCTACAAGTAATACTGTGAACCATAAATATTGACCTCCAAGTGCAACAATTAAAACCAGCTTCCTCTTGTCAGTTTCCTTTTTTCTTGGTTTTGAATGCAATTGGATTCCTAAGTTGCAGGAAGCAACGGGTCAGAGAGATGTCTCTGAATGTCCAAATGCTCAGAAGGTGTCTCAAGATGCTCAGGGAGAGAAGGGAAGCGAGTTTCTCGGAAGAGTCTCTGGTTGCCTGGTGTCCTTTCATAGGGCTCTTGGTTTGGCAGGATCTGTGGGTAATGTTCTTGCTCAGAACTCATTGTCATGGTTTCATCTGAAGCCACAGTCAGGTGCACACCACTTGACAAGGAGTCCCTGGATTTCAGCTGGTATTTTTCAACTTCTGTGTAGCTTGGAATCTGGCAAGAAAAAGGAAATAAAGTCATACTTTCTTACCTCAAATACATTTGAGTAGATGGTATCTCAGTTCTTTGTACAAATGTGAGAATCCAGACTTACAGCAAAGAGTTATACCTACTTATGGCTGAAAAAACAAGCCCACAGCATGATGGCTACAAGCAGTCAGAACAAGGAGGCAAGTAAAATCAAGTTAATTTTACTGTGTTGTTAGCTTTCCTTATCTACAACCCAAAATGAAATTTGTGAATTTGTAACCATTTCCCCCCTTATTTATGATTAAAGCATTAAAAACAGACATACTCAGCTTACCACAAATAGAACGTTAATGAAAATCTGTTCAAATGCAATAGCGGTCTAGAGCAAGAAAGAGGCAAGAGTAGGAGTCTTTCAGAATCAATTGTTTCTGTTCCTATCTATAAATGTCCCAGGTTTGTTTTCCTGGTTGTTGGGGATTTTAGATATATTGCCATAATTACAGGATCTCCTTCTCACCCCACCCCATTTATATATGATTTACAGTGCAGCTTTCATGTGTGAGCCGCACTGAATACAGTGCATAGGACTGCACTGGAAATCTATTGGATGCCTGGGGTTCAAATCTTCAGCAGAAAAACTCCTACCTGCTCCACTGCAAATGAGCAATTCCTCATGCCTGCTTCTTACCTCCTTTGTGGGAGTCAGCTCCTCTTCCTGCAGTGGTGGAACAGGTTCTGTGCTCCTCAGGCTCATGCTGTACAAACCCACATGTTGGGAAGAGGGAGAGATGGGACTATATGCTGGTGGCACTTGAGATAGCTGTCGTTGCAGTAGCTGCAGGATGAGACTAATGTCTGAAGTCATCCTGGATTCCAGTCTACAAGAGAGAGAATAATGCTTTAGCCTAAAATATTCTAGTATGTTTGACCTGGGCTGAAGTTTATATATGCAAGACTAGCCTTAAAATTGCATGTTGTTCAGCCACAACTGCATATTTCTTTCTCCTCAGAGGAACTACTGATTAGTGATGTGCTGAACTTCCCCAGAACCTGATTTGTGTCTGCCTTTTGGATTTCTAATGCTTCTTCCTCACTGTGGAAGCAAGCTGAGCACAGAGGAAGTCCATGAACATTTGAGGAATGCACCATGTGCAAGGGCGGACACAGCCAGTCCCCTCTGTTTGACACAGCTTGTCTACCCCTGCTTGTCTCCTTTCAGAAAACCCTCCTCTCTTCAGCCCAGAGAGAGACATTCTGTGTGTATAACTGGGGTGAGTGGATGGAATGTGTGTCTGTTTGGGTGGAGGGCTTTCCTAAAGCAGACTCTCAGATTCATGGCTGTGGTTCTCAGGACTATAGTCAGGGAAGCCAAAACCAGGCTTATCCTGTCCCCACCAGATTCCTTGCATGTCTCTAGTAGTGATTTCTGAGGTGAAGACCACCACAGTGCAGGTAGCATGGGCCGTTGGAGAAGATTGTGTCCATTCCCACAAGATATAGAGGGGTCTGTGCAGGTTTAGAGTGCCCCCTGACGAAAATGAAGTACAAACTGAAGGATAAAGATAAAGACTTGAGATTCCTAAACAAATGTCAAAGGATCACCAAATATCTTTGAATGAGTTCAAATAACTGGGGCCTGATGAACTGCATCCTAGAATAATAAAGGAACTGGCAGAAGAACTCTCAAAACCACTGCCTAGTATCTTTGAGAAACCATGGAGGGTAAAGAGACAGATGACTGGAGGAGGGCTAATATAGTCGTGTCATCAAAAAGGGCAAAATGCAGAATCCTGAAAATTACAAACCAGTTAGTTTGACATCAATCCTTGGGAAAATTCTGAAGCAGATAATCAGTCTATAAGCACCTTGAAGACAATGCAATAATTACTAGAAGCTGATGCAAATTTATCAAGAATAAATCTTTCTTTATATCTTATAATAAATAATATCTTATAATAAATCTTTCTTTATTCTTAATAAATATCAAGAATAAATTTATTTTTATTATTTATTAAAAAATTTTATAGGCCGTCCACTACAAGTGCCTTGGGACAGCTTACAAGAAAAAAGACCCCCTCCCCCCACACACACCAAGGCACTGCATCCAACCTCAATAATAAAACACAGAATAAAACCAATTAAACATTTAAATGATGGGAAAATAAAAAGGCTTTCTCCCTATGCTGAAAAGAATAAAGCTACGGTGCCAGGTGAACCTCCCTGGGGAGCAATCCTACAAGACAAGGCTCAGCTTAAAAAAGGACATACAATGTCAACTTTAAGTTCTTTAAATAGGGTGAACCTCTTTCTGCCCTAGTTATTGAGAAAAAGACCAGTGATTATGACTATATTGGCATAGGATTATGTTAATGTTACATGAAAAAGACTAGTTTACAGTCTGATACATACGTGTTCAGTTCAGTCTCTTGAATGTGAGTCTATGTAAGAATGAATGACAGTATAGTGATTCATACTTTTAAGGAAAAAAACATCAACTGCAGAACAGGGAAAATTAGAAGGGCAAATTGTAACTAGCCACAATATTGGCTGCTAGGGGAGTGCAGGGCATTGTGGTGGGAAGGAAGGATTAGAAAAGCAGCATTTTACAAGTGCAGCACTGTCTGTGTTAGGCAGGATATCAACTTAACCAAGTTAACAAGTTCAGTGTAATGATTTCTCTCTATTTTAGTAAACTACTAGCACCCACACCCACATGTGGAGCAAGTGAAGGGGTCCTCACAGCATTCCTAAAGACAATGTTATTTCCCCTAGTCCTACCAGCAACATCTAAGTATTGGAGAGAGATCAGGCATCAATTATTTAAGTACAGGTAGGAAGGCCAAAGATGGAGAAGCTCAATACAGTCAGTAAAAACTAGACCAGGAGCTGACTGGCTCAGATCATGAGCTTCTTGTTGCAAAATTTAGGCTTAAATTGAAGAAAGTAGGGAAAAGCACTAGGCCACTCAGGTATGACCTAAATCATATCCCTGATGAATATACAGTAGAGGTGACAAATAGATTTAGGGAATTAGAGCTGATAGACAGAGTGCCTGAAGAACTATGGACAGAGGTTCGCAACATTGTACAAGAGGTAGCAACTAAAACCATCCCAAAGAAAAAGAAATGCAATAAAGCAAAATGGCTATCTGAGGAAGCTTTACAAATAGCTGAGGAAAGAAGGGAAGCAAAAGGCAAGGGAGAAAGAGAGAGATACACCCAATTGAATGCAGAATTCCAGAGAACAGCTAGAAGAGATAAGAATGCCTTCTTAAATGAACAGTGCAAAGAAATAGAAGAAAACAATAGAATAGGGAAGATCAGAGATCTCTTCAAGAAAATTGGAGATATGAAGGGAACGTTTCATGCAAAGATGGGCATGATAAAGGACCAAAATGGCAGGGACCTAATAGAAGCAGAAGAGATTTAGAAGAGGTGGCAAGATTACACAGAAGAACTATACAAGAAAGAGCTTAACGTCCCTGATAAGCATGATGGGGTGGTCACTGTCCTGGAGCCAGACATCCTAGGATGTGAAGTCAAATGGGCCTTAGGAAGTCTGAGCAACAACAAAGCTAATGGAGGTGACTGTATTCCAGCTGAGCTATTCAAAATCTTAAAAGACGATGCAGTAAAAGTGCTGCACTCAATATGCCAGCAAATTTGGAACACTCAACAGTGGCCACAGGATTGGAAAAGGTCAGTTTACATTCCGATCCCAAAGAAGGGCAATGCCAAAGAATGTTCAAACTACTGCACCATTGCACTCATTTCACAAGCTAGCAAAGTGATGCTCAAAATCCTACAAGCTAGGCTCCAGCAGTATGTGGACCGAGAACTACCAGAAGTACAGGCAGGATTTCGAAGAGGGAGAGGAACTAGAGATCAAATTGCCAACATACACTGGATCATGGAGAATGCTAGGGAGTTCCAGAAAAACATCTACTTCTGCTTCATTGACTATGCTAAAGCCTTTGTTTGTGTGGATCACAACAAATTGTGGCAAGTTCTTAAAGAGATGGGAGTACCAGACCATCTTATTTGTCTCTTGAGAAACCTATATGAGGGTCAAGAAGCAACAGTGAGAACTAGGCACGGAACCACTGATTGGTTCAAAATTGAGAAGGGAGTTCGGCAAGGCTGTATACTGTCACCCTGCCAATTTAACTTATATGCAGAGCACATCATGAGAAAGGCAGGGCTAGATGAATCACCAGTTGGAATTAAGATTGCTGGGAGAAATATCAACAACCTCAGATATGCAGATGATACCACTCTAATGGCAGAAAGTGAAGAGAAACTAAAGAGCCTCATGATGCGGGTGAAGGAGGAGAGTGCAAAAGTTGGCTTGAAACTCAACATTAAGAAAACTAAGATAATGCCATCCGGTCCTCTCACTTCCTGGCAAATAGATGAGGAAGAAATGGAGGTAGTGACAGATTTTATTTTCCTGGGCTCCAAGATCACCGCAGATGGGGACTGCAGCCAAGAAATTAAAAGATGCTTGCTCCTGGGGAGGAAAGCTATGGCAAATCTAGACAGCATACTAAAAAGCAGAGTCATCACCCTGCCAACAAAAGTGCGTATAGTCAAGGCTATGGTTTTCCCAGTTGCAATGTATGGCTGTGAAAGTTGGACCATAAGGAAGGCTGAGCACCGAAGGACTGAGGCCTTTGAATTGTGGTGCTGGCAGAGACTCCTGCAAGTCCCTTGGACTGCAAGGCAATCAAACCGGTCAGTCCTAGAGGAGAGCAACCCTGACTGCTCTTTAGAAGGCCATATACTGAAGATGAAACTCAAATACTTTGGCCAGGAAGGAAGGAAGGACTCTCTGAAGAAGGAAGGACTCCCTGGGGAAGAGCCTAATGCTGGGAACAATAGATGGCAAAAGAAGAGGGGGATGGGAGAGGATGAGGTGGCTAGATGGAGTCACTGAAGCAGTTGGTGTGAGCTTAGGTGGACTCCAGGGGATGGTGGAGGACAGGAAGGCCTGGCGGAATGTTGTCCATGGGGTTGCAATGGGTCGGACATGACTTCGCGACTAACAACAACAACAGCAACAAAGGAAGGCACAGATTTTGTTAAATTGGTCCCATCTGGGTTTTTGTGTGTGTGTGTGTCTGTGTGGATTGTCTGGTATATTTTGTTCTGCCATCTCCACATTGACTGAAGTGGATTTTTTACTATACTGTTGCCTTTTTCTGCTAATGCATATTTGTGCAAATCTTACACCAAAATAAAAAAAAACTTGTCCACAGGTCCTTGGAATCCATGTCATTTGGAAAATGCTGGCCTGGAGCAGAATCTATAAGTCAGATTCATAGAAATCTAAGCTCATTTATATCAAATGCAGATTTTGTCTACACCTTTAGGTACAGGTAATCTTATTTAGATGTGGGGGGAACATAATACGTCTTGCAAATATATTTCACTTCCTAGAACAAGGGGTGCAGAATTCAAGAGCTATTGGAACCCATATCTTTCCAAGCCACAATTTAACTTACCTGCTAAGCTGTGCCTGTAGGCACTCTAATTTGGATTCAATCTGCCGTGGTCTCTCGTCCAAGTTTGACGGCATGTCCAATGTGTTACGTACCAAGGATATCTGTTGGAGAGACTCTGTAAGAGGGCTGGGCCTCTTGTCATCCCAAAATGTGAATAAGTTAGAAATATTCGGTGGTGTTGCTGGAGGATGAAAGAGGAAAAGTTTGTAATCTCTGTTTAAAATGGATATTACAGTACATCCATATGTAGGTAGATTTTTAGTGGGCTACTATTATAATGCCTGGAAATACTATTCATAATAAAACTATGGTGTTGTCCTATTAAATTCGGCACAGGAAATCTACCTTTTGAGGGGTATAATTTCAGAAGTGGTCAATAAATGGTGGCCAAATTATAGCCATTTTCAGAATACCAGTCAGAACATCTCATTTACTCCCTGGAATGAGTTAGAAAAAAAGGACCAGTAAAATAAGTAGATGGAGGAGAAAAAGGATTTAGACTTCCACGCCCTATTTGCAAATTGCTACGTCCCACTGATGCTTCCTGTGATTTTTTTATTCAGCAGGATGCCTGAAAAGGGGTACAACTGTGTCAGGATGTGGGCAGCTCTAGGGCTCCATCTGCTGGCCAACCACCAGAATGTTGACCCTGGTGGATGCGGGATCAGTCCCCAATGAGCACCACCTGGGAGCCTTGGGGGAAGAGCCTGAGAAGCTGCTGCAGCAACACCAGTCTGCAACATCTGAAGTCTGTCTTTGGAATTTTTCCTGCCCCTGGTTCTGCTCCTACTTCAAGGTACCTTTTGCCATGCTGTTTTCCCAGCTCCTGACCCTTGGTTTGCTCTGACCACATTTTTGCCTACTGGACTACACGTTGCTCTGCTCTGCAGCTTATTTCTAGTTTGGATCTTGGCTTGTTTGGAATATGACTCGAGCTGGTTAGTAAATCTTGAACTTGTGTTACCTTGGTCACTGTGCCTGGACCCCAGTGCATTTGTCTGAAATCCTCCAATCCACACCCTGAACCGCTACAAACTGGATTTTCTCTAAATAATCAAGAATTGTCCAGAGTTCCTAATCATGTGGAGTATATATATCCATATATATACAGTCATACTTATGAATACATTTGAATCCCATTTATTTATTTATTAGATTTTTATCCTGCCCCATTAGCGATAAGGCTCCATTTATACATTTTTCCAGTAATTTCCAAGGCAACTCACATCACATATATAAATAATCTAACTGGCAATAGAAAAGACAACAGTGCACACAACAACAACATGAAACAGGTAATAAAAAATCAGCTCAGACTTAAAATACTTTTGTAAAGCCTGGAAAAATAAAAAAGCTCTTTACCTACTACCAAAAAGATAATTACATGGGTAGTGCATGTGTGTCCTAGAGGAAAGGATTCCATAAATGAGGTGTCAGATGATGTTACTTTCCATTTTAACTTCAAGAAAATGCCTCAATCCAGATTAAGAGCAGGATGTGCAAGTAGAAGTGCTTTAATCCTTTTCACACAGCCACTTTCCCCTACCAATTCCCCTGCCTCAAGACTGGGATTAACTCTCCCAAGCTCTAATGGACTGGGGCTCTACAGGTTTACTTGAAGTTTAAAAAGTGTGCATTTTGTTAAATATGTATAGTGCATATTTAACATAATGTTTTAGCACTTAAGCTGAAAGGTTTTGATTCTAAAATTGTATTTGCATCTCTCAGAGGATGAAAGCAGTAGGAGGTCTGAATTAACATGGAGGACTAAAGAAGATATTATTTTGAGTATGTCTACCAGTTATGTGGGGACTGCAGGTGGCGCAGTGGTTTAAACTGCTGGGCTGGTAGATCGAAAGGTCGCCAGTTCGAATCTGTATAATGGGGTAAGTTCCCGTTGCTCCATCCCAGCTCCTGCCAACCTTGCATCCAAATGCAAGCAGATAAATAGGTGCCACTTCGGTGGGAAGGTAACAGCGTTCTGTGCACTTCGGTGTTTAGTCATGCTGGCCACATGACCATGGAGACTGTCTACGGACAAATGCTGGCTCCCTCGGCTAGGAAACAGAGATGAGCACCGCCCCCTAGAGTCAGGCATGACTGGACTTAATGTCAAGGGGAAACCTTTACCTTTACCAGTTATGTTAGGGTACCCCAGTTGAGACAGCACCCCAGTTGAGACCTTATGGAGGGGGATAGAAGGGCTTTTAAGATCTGGATTTTTAAATGGATCAAATGGTATTTATTTCTAAACAACTAAAGCCAATCATCAAAAAAACAAAACAAAACAAAAACAAAGCATCATATTTTTGGTGGGAATGGGGAAGAGATCTGTTCTTGTTTTTTCATTCACTGGAATTAATATTTATCACTTGTGGTGCCTGTTATGTGATCTTTACTTATTGGCTTAAACCATGACAGTTACACTTTTATGCCTTTCTGGTTTTTCAACTTATAGCCTGAATTGGAGCCCCTGTGCTGACCCTAAAGTGAAAATGGAAAGACATTGTTGCTAGATACTCTTTGAAATCTATGTCTACCGTGGCGTCAGCGGTGGCCATCTGTGTAATGCTCTAAAAAGCTTCCAAATCCATTCCAACAATTAATGGACCACAAGAGGATGGGACCACTGAGGCAGCCCTATCTGTTGATGAAGTCACTTGGGACAAATAGATCATCCACGAAAGCACCCAGTTACCCATACCTATGTAGGACAGGCTATCCTCAGTCACCATTTTGTCAGCCTCAGTGCCATCACTAATCAGGTTTACCACTGCTGGTGTGTAGGTGCTCTTCTCAGTGGCTGTATAAGATTCACCCTTGGTAGGGCTGGGTATCTTGGCCTCCTCTTCACTTGTCTGGGAGCAGGGTGTTGTAGTGCTGCACATATCATCCCAATGATCCTTACTGTGAGGATGCTGCAGCTGTGTGAGCTCAGAGTATGCGTGGTACTGCTCAGGGTCTGAGATGCCTGCATCCAAACCATCTGGGTCTGTAGTGGGGACAAAAGATGTAGACAGATTTCACGTCATGTATTCTTACTGAGATATATGATCTAGCTGCCTGTTTGCTAACAAATTGCTTACAATCAGGTGATAGCGATGCTGGATTTTGTAAAGTGATTTGTATTATAAAAGTTATTGGCAAACTGTTTCACACCTTCTAACATGGACAAAAATTGTCATTTTTTCAGATATGTTTTGCTTTTCTTAATTCTCTCATTAACCCAAACAAAAGCCCTTGGGTGTCATAAGTCTAAATGGGAGGAGTGTTGCCTACCTGCCGGCTTTCTGGAAGTATTTGTCTGGCAGTGAATGAGAAAAGGATGCCAGACCCATTGCTTGGCATTTCTTGCATTTTGCATTTTAAAGATCTTCAGAAGAAGGTGATGTATTTACCTATTACATGAAACTTGCCTTCACATTGTATTAGATGCATGTGAGAATCTAGTCCTAATCAGGCATTTTAATATACAAAAGATCGACATTTGAGGAAGGAGAGGGTGCTAGTTCTACCCTGTCATGATTATGTCACGTGCTACACATGGAGGGTGATGGTGTCCCATGGAGAGATTCCTGTATCTGTGGAGTCTCTCTACACAGTTTCTACACAATTTAAAATCTGATTTTACAGGTTTGCAAAGTTCCTTTCTACTTCTAGTTTGGTGATGGAGTTATGGTGGAAGAGGGGGCAAAGGCAGAGGAAAAGGGTGCTGGTCTAGATTAGCCCAGCAAACAGTCTCTTCCAAGAGACTGAGAGCTCCTGAGAGTGGCAACTATGAAGGAGAGTAGCCTGGTTACTAGTAGCAGCTGTTTGGGTGGGGAAATTCACTCTGGTACCTGAATCCTAGTTGAGCAGTTCAGAGGAAGCTGCCTCAGCTGGTCTAGGGACTACGAGGTACAAGCTTCCAGAGGGTGAGCAAACAGAGAGAGTGAACAGGGACAGCAAACAGGAGTTTGTGGGGAAAAGTCAAGGAGGAGGTCCCTAACATTTTTCTTTTTTTTTCTCTCCCCCTCTCCCTTTTTCTTCTTTTTTTCTCTCCCCCTCTTCACTCCAATTTACTGTGTTGATAACCTTCAGGGAAGACAGAAGAAAGCTCTAGTTGTCTCAACAGAGCCAGCAAGCTGGAAACCAAAAGGTAGCAGAAAGAATGGACCAAGAAGTTTCCCCATTGCTGGTGACCTGCAATGTCTGTGCATATTTTTTCTTGCCTGAGATGAACATGGCCTACATGTGCAACAAGTGCAAGCTAGTAGCCTTGTTAGAAGAAAAGGAGAGAAGACTAGAGCAGCAAATGCTTTAAACTGAATCCTACAGGGGAGGGAGAAGTACACCTGGACATAACAACAGACAAAGGTTTATGTACCACAACAGAGAGAGCCGCTCTAACAATGCTCAAACATAGTCTTCCAGAAAAATGTAGGGAGAAAGCTAGAGTAATTATGTCTGGAATATGAGAAACGAACAGTATGAAGTTGAACTCTTAATATAGGATGGTGAATGCAACCTAACAGGTATAACTGAAACTTGGTGGGATGACTGCTATGAGTGGACTTCAACAAGAACAGTAGGAACAGAAAGGGAGGCATAAATACACTGTATGTTAAAGAAAAGTTAGTAGCCCCATCAGGAGCATCTGGATTAATATAAATGGAGCAAGGAATAAAAGGAACACACTGGTTGGAGTCTATTACTGACCACCCAGTTAGGGAGAAGATGAGGATGAAATTTCTGAAAAGCTAATTGCCATGTTTCAAGAAGGCATGATGTCATTTTATTATTTATTTATTTATTTTATTTAGAAAATTTCTATGCCGCCCCATTCACCGAAGCCTCGGGACGGCTTCCAAACATGAACATTTACATAAAATATTGGAGACATCCTGGGAAAAAGTTGTTAAAATCAATAAATAAAGTTAACAATTAAAATAACGTTTAAATAAAAAGGTCTTGGCCTGGCGCCGAAAAGCAAATAACGACGGTGCCAGGCGAACCTCTCTGGGGAGCGTGTTCCATAAGTGGGGCGCCACCACAGATAATGCCCTCCTCCGGGTACTCACCCTCCTAATATCTTTCACGAAGGGCTCCAGGAGAAGGGCCTCTGCCGCCAATCTCAAGAGGCGGGAGGGCATATATGGACATAAGCGCTCCTTTAGGTAACCAGGTCCCAAGCCATTAAGGGCTTTATAGGTAATAACCAGCACCTTGAATTGGGCCCAGACATCAATGGGGAGCCAGTGAAGCTGACGGAGGACTGGAGTTATGGGAGCACAATGCCCAGTCCCCATCTGCAACCTGGCAGCTCTGTTTTGCACCAACTGAAGTATCCGGACCGTCTTCAAGGGCAGCCCCACGTAGAGTGTGTTACAGAAGTCTAATCGGGAAGTAACCAATGCGTGTGTCACTGTCGCCAGGCAATCGTTCTCCAGGTAGGGACGCAGCTGATGGATCAGCCAAAGCTGAAGGAAAGCGCTCCTTGCCACCGCTGTTACTTGAGCTTTCAAAGATAGCTCTGGATCGAGGAGCACTCCCAAGCTGCAGACCCTGTCCTTAAGAGGGTGTGCAACCCCATTCAGGACAAGGTCGAGGTCCCCACTACTCTGAAGTCCAACCCGCCTACCAACAGGACCTCCGTCTTGTCTGGATTGAGCCTCAGTTTATTGGCCCTCATCCAGCCCATTACCTCGGCCAGGCACTGGTTCCGTACAGCCACTGCCTCACCTGGATTGGTTGAAAACGAGAGGTAGAGCTGGGTATCATCAGCGTACTGATGATTCCGCAGTCCACACCTCCTAATGACCTCTCCCAGAAGTTTCATGTAGATGTTAAATAGCAAGGGGGACAAAATGGATCCCTGTGGAACTCCATGGCATAGCTGCCATGGCGCAGAGCCATAGTCCCCCAGCACCACCTTCTGGAATCGGCCATTGAGATAGGAGCGGAACCACTGCAAAGCAGTGCCTCCTACCCCCAATCCCACTAGCCTCTCCAGAAGGATACCATGGTTGATGCTATTGAAAGCCGCTGAGAGGTCCAGGAGGACCAACAGGGACACACTCCCCCTGTCTCTCTCCCTGCACAGGTCATCATACAGGGCGACCAAAGCAGGTTCAGTACCATTCCCAGGTCTGAAGCTGGACTGAAATGGGTCCAGATAATCAGTCTCATCCAAGAGTGCTTGGAGTTGTCCTGCCACCACCTGCTCTAACACCTTGCCCAGAAACAGGACGTTGGCCACCGGTCTATAATTGGTGGCCATCTCTGGATCCAGGAATGCCTTCTTTAGAACTGGTCGGACTACCGCCTCCTTTAAAGGGGCAGGTACCTGGCCATCCCTCAGAGAGGCATTGACAACCTCCATGATCCAGGTCCCTATCCTGTGCTTGGCTTTAATTAGCCAAGATGGGCAAGGCTCCACTAAGCAGGTGGTAGGACATACTTGTCCAAGCACCTTGTCCACATCAGCAGGCCGCAATAACTGAAACTCATCCATCAATTTTGGACCAGACGGCAACATTGGCACCTCCCCTGAAGACTCTGAATCACTAGTGGAGTCCAGCTTTGTATGAATATGTCTGGAATGACTTGCCAAACACCATGGTTAAAGCAGGAGATGGTTTGGAATGCAGACTTCCCATTTCCTGGTGTGTGTTTTTAGCCATTTAACTACAGCCTGACTCTCATATTGAACTTTGCAGGCTTTCTGGGAACATCATCAGTATTAGTAGACTATCAATGTCTGATAAGCTTCCCATATGGTAGTGAGAGGCCAGGGGAGAGTGTGGCAATCTGTTGGAGCAAATTCTACTTCTACTACATAACCCTTGACAAATCTAGACAGAGGGGAGGCAGAGGCGAGACATATACTCTAGAAGCAGTGGATCCCAAGGTGGTGTTGGACCTAAGCTCCCATCATTCCCAGCCAGCATGGCCAATGGTCAGGGATGATGGGAGGTGTGGTCTAACAATATATAGAGATTCAAGCATGGGTAAAACAACTTGTCAAGTAATTTCTTTCTGGGCAAAAGAGTCTCTACTATCTCCTGTATGATCACTCTACAAGACTACTTGTGAAGATTGCTGTGATATGCACCAGCGTATAGATGCATTAAGGATAAGATTATCAGTAACTATTAGCCATGAGAGCTAAATGGTACCTCCATATTCAGAGGCAGTATCCTTACGATGGCCAGAGAAAGGAAAAGAGAAGAAGGATTTCTCCAACTTGACCTGCCCCCACAGCAACCGACCTGCCACTAGCAGACGTTTCTGAGCTAGATCAGATTCAGCAAGGCATTTTGTATGTTTTAAGCAACAGGGACAATCATGAGATGGCCGTAATGCAACTGTTATCTTCGTTGCTCCCTTTTCATGCAGGAACCTATGTGTTCCAAGGGGCAGACTCACCAATTTTGTTAGTTTTGCAAAGCGAATGCTTATGGCGGCGTATCCGGCGATAGTTGCATGCATACTCCTCACTAAGTGGTGAACGAGGAACACTATCTGCCTGAAGAAGCAAAATAATAATAATGGATAAAGCAGAGTGAAAGAACCTGTTTGCACAGCCAAAGCAGTTTAGACTTAAGAGTTTCCCCAGCTCTAATACTGTGCTCATCTACAAGGAATGGTGCTTAATTAAAGTAGCCTCAGCAAGGCTTAGCTCTGGAACTTTTTCTAATGCTGTTACTAAGCACTGAAACCTATAATGAGAATGCCTTTGAGTATGTGCAAAGTGCTTTCTTTAAGTACAGATCTAGCTTTTGATCAAACAGTATGACTATTATTTTAGAAAGGAAGTGGGGTCAAAAAGTAGTGTTAAATAGTAGTATCATTGAACAGGTCTGGATCAACCTGAAAATGTGTAACATGGTTAAAGCATGAATTGGTGAGCTAAGTTGAAGGGTACCATGAGTACTATGAAATACATGGATTATCTGCTCAGAGATGTGCTAAGTGGGCTCAGCCATTTAGGATTAAGGGAATAGCTTTCAGTGCAAGAAAAGAGGAAGTTTGATCTGTTTTCTCTAACACCATTGGCTTTATTCTTCCTGTATACATTCTCTGCTTCCCTAAGTAACTTAAGTACAAAAAACCAGTAACTGTGCCCTAACCTTAGTTTACATTTCTTTTTCCTTCCATTTTTCCCTGGCCCCTTTCCTCCACTCACATCAGATACTTACATCTCTCAAGTTAAATGTTATCTCCAGATTGCTCCAGAAATTATCTGAGAAGGCTGGGTACATATCCAAGACTTCCAGAAGGTCTTCCCGCTGAATCTTATGCAAGTCACAATAAGTGAGGGCTCTCACATCTGCATTAGATTTCCCAGGCCTGGCATAAAGACTGATAGGCTCTCCAAAGATGTCATTCTTCCCTACAAGGCATAGGAAATCCTGTTAGAGTACCAGTTGTTTTTTCTAAACTAGTCTGACTAATTCTAGCAGCAGCTGTTGCTGTGGGCTTCAGCGAAAACATTACAATTGGGCAAATACATGTGATGTATCCTCTCTCTTTCACCATCAGCCATCTTGACTAGACATAGTCACTGAGCTTTATAATAAACAAGTCTATCTTTGCCCCTACTGCATCGTTTCTTCAGCTTATCTGTACCTCCCTCCAATAGAATATTCTTGCTATCTTGCTCAGCCCTTTAATACTCAGTAAGATTGTGCTACTGTTTGCAGCCAGAAGAAGGAGCAACAGAGCCCAACAGCAGCTGCTTAGGCTCTTTTTCGAAGCCACTGAAGCTGATCTGACATTATGGAATGAGAAGAGCCAGCACGCCACTACCGCAAGTGCAGTGTCCCCAGATGGGTAGCCTTTGCCTTAACTGTACTGTTGCTCCAAAAAAGGGCATGTCCTACCTCCTCTCCAGGCTTTAAACATAGAAACATAGAAACAGAGCGAGTCAGAAGGGTCCTCCTGGGCCATCTAGTCTGACCTCCGGCACCAGCCGGCTCCGCTCACGACATGCCCACCATGTGGACGTCCAGCCTATCCTTGAACACCCGCACCGATGGGCCCTCAGCGACCTCTCGTGGAAGCCCATTCCACACCCTCAGGGTCCTGACTGTCAGGAAGTGCTTCCTGGCATCTAAATGGAACCTTGGTTCCCTGAACTTTGCTCCATTGGAGCGCGTCCTGCCTTCCTCTGCAGGGGAGAACAGGTCTCTACCCACCTCCATGTGACATCCCCTCACATACCTGTATGTTGCCAACATATCCCCTCTGAGTCGCCTCTTCTCCAGGCTGAAGAGACCCGGTTCCCTCAGTCTCGCCTCATACCCATCCCCTGCAAACCAGCCACCAACCTTGTGGCCCTTTGCTGCCCTGACTCTAACCTGGCTATATCCTTTCTGTAATGAGGGGCCCAAAACTGAGCACAACACTCCAGTTGCGGGCGAACCAGAGTCGTATAGAGTGGTAGTAATACCTCTCTTGATCTAGAAGCCACACTTCTGGCTATGCAACCAAGGGTGGCGTTCGCCCTCTTGACCACCGCATCACACTGCTGACTCATGTTTAGCCTGCAGTCAACCAGTACCCCGAGATCCCTTTCACAAGTGCTGCTCTCCAGCCACTTGTCACCTAACCTGTACTTATGACACCCATTCCTATGCCCCAAGTGTAAGACCTTGCACTTATCCACATTGAACGCCATCCTGTGGTCTCCTGCCCACTTCCATAGTCTGTCCAGATCCTTTTAGATCTGGAGTACCTGCTCCTCAGTTGTGGCCACTGCTCCAGTTTTAGTGTCATCTGCGAATTTGATGAGCAGACTGCTCACCCCTTCTTCCATGTCATTAATGAAAAGATTAAACAGGATCGGCCCCAGGACAGAGCCCTGGGGGACCCCGCTTGTCACTGGCCGTCTTCTCGATGATTCCCCACTAATGGTTACCTTCTGCTTTCAGTCAGTCAACCATGCCCTAATCCACTGGACAGTGCTTTGGTGTATCCCAAAACTCCTCAGTTTCTCCACCAGGATATCATGGGGTACTTTGTCAAAGACCTTGCTGAAATCCAGGTATACCACATCCACTGCATCCCCTCCATCTAGCCATCTCAAAACCTTCTCATAGAATTCCACAAGGTTTGTCTGGCAGGACCTGTTTTTGCGGAAGCCGTGTTGTGTGGCGTTCAGCCTCCCTTCCCTATCTAGCATCACTAGATCTCTCTCTATTATGAGCCTTTCTATTGTTTTTCTTACAATGGACGTAAGGCTAACAGGTCTATAATTCCCCATGTCCCTTCTACTACCCTTTTGGAAAATTGGGACCACTGATGCCACCCTCCAGTCCTCTGGAACTTCACCCGTTCTCCACGAGGCCTCAAAAATGGAGGCCAGCGGGCGTGAGAGAACCCCTGCCATCTAAGTACTCTCAGGTGTAACTCGTCAGGACCTGGCGCCTTTGTAATCCTGATGCCAATGCCCTGAGGAGCCCCTCCACTTCAAGGGGGGTGACTCTAATCTGTGCCCCTAAGTCCCCAGCCTCATCTAATCTCCTATGCGGATATCCCCCGTCCTGCTTTGGGGAGAACACAGAGGCAAAATAGTCATTTAGCATCTGTGCCTGTTTCCTCATATCAGTCACTGGATCTCCTTCCTCCTTATTTAGTGGTCCCACCACTTGTCTCCCCTTCCTCTTCCTATTTACATGCTGAAAGAAGCCCTTTTTGTTGCTCTTGATATTCCTGGCAAGTCTCAGCTCATAATCAGCCTTAGCCTTGTGAAGAATCCTTCAGCAACGGGCCTCCTCCTCCCGGTATACCCTTTTGTCTATTTGCCCCAGTACCCATTTCCTACAGAGGTTCCTCTTTCGTCTAATCCCTCTAACCACCTCCTTTCACATCCATGGCGGCACTCTCCTCTGCCTCCCCACCTTACTGACTAGAGTATCGTCAAGGCTTGTGCTTCCAAAACCTCCCTTTTGAGTGCCATCCACCCCTCCTCAACTCGCTTACCTTTCAGTAACCTATCCCAGGAGACTTTCCCCAGTCTGGCCTTCAGTTGGCCAAAGTTGGCCCTCTTGAAGTCCCAGCTTCTAGTGCTTGACCTGCTGCACGTCCCCAGTCCCCTGATCTCAAAGCAAAGGATGGAGTGATCACTCGCATCCAGAGCTCCCCTAATCTGTACTTCATCTATCAGCTCCTCCCTATTGGTCAAGACCAAGTCAAGGATGTTTCCCCCCCTCGTTGCCTCTTGGACCCTCTGTGTGAAAAAACCTCCCTCTATAGCTTCTAGGAAGCAGCGTGACCTGGCTGTCACTGCCGAGTGAGTCTCCCATCTAATATCCGGGAGATTGAAATCTCCCATAATTACTGTGTCTCTCCCCTGAGATATCCTTAGAATCTGGCCTGTCAGGACATCATCCAGGGTCTCAAGGTGACCTGGAGGGCAATAACACCCCCCCACTGTCAGGTCTCTTTCCCTGTCAAAACCCCTAAGTTTCACCCAGACTACTGAATCCCCATCTGTGCTGCATTCTATCTCACTGCATCCTATCCCTTCCCTGACGTATATAGCCACCCCCCCACCCCTCTTTCCCTTCCTGTCCTTTCTAAAAAGGTGATACCCTTCTATGTTCACATTCCAGACTTGCCTTTCATTCCACCAAGTTTCTGTGATCCCTACCAGGTCATACCCTCCTATTCCCAGGAAAGCTTCAAGATCTTCCTGCTTATTACCCATGCTCCTAGCATTAGTGTACATGCACCTCACCTCCTTCCCACCGCTTCCTTTCTTTGGAGTCACCAGCCTCCTCTTTCCTCCCATCCTCCCTGATACCTGGCCCCTCTCTGTAGGAGTCCTGTCAGTCCCTGCAGTACCTCTAAAACCCTGCTCCCAGAGCCCTGATCCTCTCCCCACACTTGTCCAGTGCAGACATGTTTCTGGGGCGCCTGAACCTACTCCCCCCCCCGGCTCAGTTTAAAGTCTTTCGGACGAAGCTCGCTAGAGCATCTCCAAAGGACCTCTTCCCCATCCTCGTGAGGTGTAACCTGTTTCTTGCCAGAAGTCCATTGGCAAGAAACCGAGTGCCACGGTCAAGGAACCCGAAGCGTTCCTTCTGACACCACACCCTAAGCCAGTCGTTCACCTCGGAGACCCTCCTGTCCCTTCCTGGCCCAAATCCCCGGACCAGTAAGATTGACGAGAAGGCCACTTGGGCCTTTAGCTCCCTGAGTTTCTTCCCCAAGGCCTCAAAGTCCCTGGTGATCTCGACCACACCCTGCCTGGCCATGTCGTTTGTGCCCACATGGATCACCAGGAGCAGCTGGTGACCCTTGGAGCGGACAAGACACTCCACTCTGTCCTTCACATGCTGGATTCGTGCACCCGGCAGGCAGCAAACCTCCCTTGTCTCCAGGTTGGGGTGGCACACCACCAGCTCAGTGCCCCTCTGCAGGGAGTCCCCAACAACAATCACCTGTTGCCGTACCTTCCCGGTGCTGGTGGGCGGCCGTGCCCTGGCTCTCGCCTCTCCTGCAGCGGCCCCCTTGCTGCCTGACGTCCCAGGCTGGGGGTCCTGCTGATCCCCCGAGGCCTCATCAGCCCCAGCCTCCCCAAGTGGAGAGAACCTGTTTCCCAGCTCCAGATTGGTGCCAGGAGAAGGAGGAGGCCGTGCTGGCCTCCTCCTCCTGTGGGTGACATACCTCCATGTCTCCGCAGCTGCTCCTCCCGTGGTCTCTCCCTCAACCCTCTGCCAGAGGGGGGCAGCTCCCGGGGGTCCTGGAGAGCTCTCTCGGCCCTCAGGCACCTCACCTCCTCCTCTAGGAGGGTCACCATCTTGCACCGAGGGCAAGTGTATCCCTGCCTCTCCTGAGGGAGAAGGGCGAACATGTCGCAGCTGTCGCAGCAGACAGCAACACCCGTGACTCCCACCAAGGCCATCTCCTGGTCTGCCATCGGTATCCCTTCCGAGACCTTACCTTGGTCCCCTGCCTTGTTTGTCCTGCAGTTCCTCTCACTCGCCCAGTTCTGCCAGACAAAAACCCACTTGCACACACACACAAGGATAAAATAAACTTAAATGTATAAAATAACTTACATTTAAATTGGAGGAAAAACAAAGCAAAGCACAGCACCAAAAAAAAAAAAAAAAAAAAAACCAAAGAAAGACAGACAGACAGACAGACAGAAGGAAAACAAAGCAAAGCAAAACCCAACCCTCAGCTAAAGTTCTGCAAGAGGTGGCAGGATGCTCACAGAGCTTTTTTGGCTGGGGAAAGAGTGCCGCAGGCTATCACAGACAGAGGGTGCTTGCAGATGGAGGTTCCTAGTGCTTATTATTCTATTTTATGCTTCTTCATGTGGACTTTGTGTGATGAGGAAAAGGACAGCAGTGGTGTAAAAACACAGGAGGGTTACAAAAGGAAAATATCATCTGGATCACTTATAAAAGTCCATGAATGAAGCAGTTAATTGCACAATTACAAGTCTTTCCTGGAAGCCCCCAGAGATGCAGTGTGATTGCCGAAGGACAGACTACTGCTTGCCACAACAAACAGATGGGTAAATACATCCCCACTTGTCTATCATATTTTCTCCCCCAGCCCCACAGGGATCATTCTTTCACCTAGGATGGCAACTACAATATCCTCTCTGAGGATCTCGATGGAACCACGTGAGATGAAATAGAGAGTGGTGAGGACATCTCCATAGTGCACCAGGGTATCACCAGGTGGTGCATGGGTTGTCTTGAATTTCATGGCCAAGGCCCGTAGGCAGCCTTTGCTAGCTCCTCGGAATGCTTTGCAATTTTGGAGGAGGGTGCGGTTGAGGTGGAGGCAGATATCTGCTTGTAGGCAGTCAGGGAACCCTTTCAGCACCTGAGTGGGAATAAAAGGAAGCATATATGAGTGGGTGGGAATGTGATAGATGCTGGTGTCCCTCTTCTCCAACTTGGCTCCTTCTCCCAGAACTGTGCCCTGTGGAGGAATTAATTTAAGCTATGTTGAGTTACACAGATGAGGAAAATTCAACCATAATCCCATTGAGCATCTCTGAAGTACTTAGGCTGGAACTTTAGGTCCTGGGACATTTCATAAGTTTGTAGGGATATTTTCAAATTGTTCAGTGAACAGCAGTATTACAGACTTATGCCAAATCCATGTTCTCTGTCAAACCTGTCTTTTGATACTGCCTTCTTTCATCCTAATTTGCATGTTTCTTTAGATCAGAAGTAAGTAAAGCAGGGATGATTAACTGATGGCTGTAGGCTGGCCCACAAAAGAAATCTGTCCATGTCTCTCATTGCCCAGTGTGAAGAGGATGCCTGCTGGCTGGGACAGAAGCATATTGCTTTTGAACTAGCTAAACTATTCCTGAAAGTGACACGAGGCATTTTTGCTTCCTCAACTGGCAGGTGTCCCTTCCATCAGGAAATGGAAGGTCATTCTCAGAGGCCTCTGGGTCAATCTCCCATTCATAATGGATGGGGTGGCTCTGAGTTCAGCCACCAAAATTGGACATGCAACAGTAAAGTGATGCACCTTGAGGCAATAATAATTCTAACATATAATTCTAACATTTTTGGTGAAATTTCAGAGCAGTGATTGTCCAAGAAAGATATCCCAGATAGCTTGATGAAAATGTCAACCCAGTGTGCAGCTGCTATACAAAAGAATTTTTGTTGGATATAGTTAGAAAAAGAATCAAAAGCAAAATTGCCAATATTATATTGTCCTTATAAAACCATACAATATAGCCACACTTGGAATACTTTGTGCAGTTCTGGTCACTGGACCTCAAAAAAGATTTAAAGTCAGAAAAAGCACAGAAAAGAAAAACAAAATGATCAAGGGTAGCAGCAACAAGAAAAGGTTAAAATGCCCAAGTGTTTTTTGCTTAGGGAAAAAAGGCAAGTAAGGGGCAATATGAGATAGGTATATGGGGCATGCTGTGGAGAAACGTCTCCCTCTCAATATCAGATTCATCCTATGAATTTGAAATGTGTGACATCACTGCCTGCTGCAGCATCCCAATTTGTAATATATGAAACTGACATCTACAATTCTCCTGATTACTTCATTCCAGCTAAGATCTTAAACCCATTCTGTGGCCTATCTTGACATAGATGGATGCACGTCTTCTTTACACACTGCACCTTAGGATATGCATTCCAAGGGGCATTGTCTATGCAGAAATGAGTTGCGCTCTGTTGTCTAAGCAAGTTTTATAGAAGTTGTATTTAGCAAATCATGGGAAAATGTTTTTCAACATCAAGTCAAGGTCCTCCCTCCCTCCCTCCCTCCCTCCCCCCCTCCTTCCTTCCTTCCTTCCTTCCTTCCTTCCTTCCTTCCTTCATGGGATCTATATTAAAGGCCTTCCTTTTTGAATGCTACTTTGGGCTTTGTTATTGATTGTTGTCACTCCCTTTTTCAACATACTAATTAAAATGGATTGAAGCTTATTTAGGCTACCCTGTTTTTGCTTAGCAACAAGCCATAGAGAGAAAAGCTGAATCAATATGGCTCTTACACACACCCAGGAAAAATTGACTCAACTTAGAATGACAACCTTTAGCTTTTTGCATCAAAGTAATTCCTTGTAAACTGGTTTGCAATGCATTTGTGCTTGACTTGGGGACCCTTGGAAAGTGTAAGGATTTTTCTGTTCCTCTCAAACTCTATCAAACTGGCATTTATCATAATGATGGAAAGAGTTAAATAGCCATTTAGACTTCAGCTCAGGGTCACTTTCAGGATGACCTTTTGCTAGCCTCAAGCCATGAATCCTGCAGGCCAAGTAATATCATTAAAGGAATGTAGTTAATGTGTAGATTGAATGCATCTGAGGTTGGTGAATGCATCATCTCATGCATCATCTTACACACTACAGTTATTACACTGCTGGCACAATAAATGTTGAATGAGCAGTGAGAAAGGCTTGTGAATTCAGTCTGGATCAACACAAGCCACTTGCGACCAATTCCTGGCACAAAGATTTATATATGTGTAACTTAAAGAAAATTATAAGAAACATTCCTGTTATTGTCTCCACTCTGAAGTGGAATGATTTGAAAGTCATTGTAACCTGCCCTTGCAATCAGTCACAGTGGGTTGGTGTTTTGAGAGCAACCCAGGACACCTGACACATGGTCAATCTCTCTGTGGGTATTCTCCCCTTCTGTCCAGTTCTCCAGACAGTAACACAGGAGACACCATGGCAGGATGAACTGGCCTTCCCCACTCCCAGCTGAAAGTCACTGCTAACATTTTCCCTTCAATCTGCCTACTCCATTACTCTCTAAGATTGCCTTTTAGGGTTTCCAATTTGACAGTCAGTGGCAGTCACTCCAAAATGCTCAAGCGACACATTGGAAGAGCCATATGTTGTCTTTTTCATTTGTTTGTGCTGCAAATCTGTGCAATTCTTTTCATTACTTGTATAGTTGGATTTGTACAAGTGTACAGGTGCATACTTGTGAAGGCTGGAAAAAAAGAAATCTTACCTTGGCCCACTGTCAACACAACAAACTCTAGAAAAGCTGACAGATTCTCAGAGTGGCTTGTCTTAAAAAGGGTGGGGGGGGGCACTGTTGATAAAGTGGGCTGCGTTCAGACATCATGACAAAAACCATGGCTACTTACCCGTATTGGGTCATTCTGCCACCTGTAGCAAGACAAATTTATTTGGAGGAAAGATGAGATATTTAATTGTTATTTATTGTTAGGTTTTAGTGTTTTTAGTGATTCTTATTGTTCTTTTTATTTCTGGAATTTTATTGTTTTATATATAAGTTTTAAATTGTACACTGGCCCAGAGCCCTATGGGTCATGGGACGGTATAGAAATGTAATAAATCAGTCGGAGTGGTATTTTTGCTTGGTTTTTTTTTTAAATTTATATCCTATCCTTTTCCTGCAAGGGTCCCAAGGCAGCTTATATAATCACATATACATATGTGTATGTATAACTTAAATAGCGTTCTAAGATACATTTATATTTACCATCTCCACTGCAATGTACATTTGATAACAAAACTGTTTTTCTTTTCATTTTTTATAATTTTGATTAAGGAAATGTTAATGTTAATGTTGATTAAGGAAATCAGTCTAGATCATGAGCTTGAGTTTCAGGAGAACTTTTTTCAGAAGAAAAAATTATGCTATATACACACACGTGTGACAACAGGAATCACTTTAGAAGAAGCTGACACAAAAAATGAAATGTCTCCTAAAAAGGCCCTTGCCATCTTCAGTTTTTATAAATACTTGCTATAAATATGGTTTAAAATCTACCTAATTAATTACAGGCCCCTATTTACTTTTTAATGGATGAATCTAGTAGAATAGTAATTAACAGTGTTGTTCTACCCATGGGAGAACTTTGGCTATGGGGTAGTATAGAATTGAAATAATAATAATGATAATAGGTGATAATTCTTCTCAAATAAGAATGGAAATACAGTATGTTTTAAGGAAAAAAACTAAAATAGAAGAGGTTAAGTAGTTTGCGTCGCCCTTTCCTACGAGTCCAAAGCCAATTGCAGCACTTAGAATGCTGCCAAGAGGCAGAGAGTGTGAAAGACTGTTTAACTTGCATTCTTGTTTGGGGATGGAAAGGGGAACCCTCTAGTGACAGAATCAGAATGGGTAGCAAAGGCAGGAAGGGAACACTCTGTAGAAAAGCTACCTCACAGTTGAAAAATTATAAGATTATAACATAGGCAAAGACATTTGTTTCCATCTGTACAAATAAACTGAATTATGGACCCTAGAAGCCAATGGGAACACTTATGAAAACTATACAGTTGAGACATTTGAGAGGCCAGTCGAAACAGGAAGGGAATCCTGGGACATTTTTGTACTTCTTTAGAAAGGAAACTGGGTCAATTCCAGAAGAATTCTGGGTTTGCTGAACCCCCCCCCCCCCACTTTCTCCTCAAATCTTTGCTATACAGCCCATATTGTGTTGGACTCACCGCATTCATGTCGATGCCATTGGTGTAGGACCAGGCATGTTGGAAATACTCTTCCAGGCGCTGGCGTAACGGGTTGGGGATTTGGTGGAAGCGAATGAATTCCTTAACCCTCAGCATCTGGGTGTGGTAGCGAGCTGTGCCTGAGTAAAGGCGCTGGATGATGGCAGAGACATTGCCAAAGATGCTGGCATACATGAGAGCTGAAATAAGAGGAAGGGGGTCAGCGTTAAGGAGTGGTGGGACTATTGTCTGGAATAGTGCTACCTGCGGACACATGAAATGTTTGAGACTGCCTGAACAGATACTGGGAGGTATTTTGGTTTATCAATGACAATGTTGTGAATATTTAGAGATTAATCAGAAGGTGACACTAATGTATAAATACTAAGAGGAGTGTGTGTGTATGTGTGTGTAAAACAGTAGAATTGGATGGGACCAATAACCCTCTGCTAACTGAGGGACCCCAAGTTAAAACAGTAAGAAGAAATTATGTTGATTATCCATTTTCTGAATTTATGTAATATTGCATATTTTGCAACATAGGTAATTGCTTGCATGTATCGAGTGGAAAGGAAAGGAAGGGATAGGTTTGTAGACTGGACTGAGGCCTCTGAATACTTGACAGGGTATCTCTGTGTGCTGGAGGTTCTCTGTCCCTAATACCAAAGAACCAAAAGGCTAGGGAAGGCGAATATATGGAGAGGGAGAAGAGTGTGGGCCTTGTGGAAAGTCCTTGTATTATTTGCATGCTTCATAGCTATTGGTCCTTTCTCGAAATGGCAGTTCCTCAACATGGCTGTTAATGTGGAAGCCGTGGAACCTAACATTGCCACTATTTGCTTCCCTTTCTCCCTAAGCAGGAGAGGCAGCTTAGTCTGAAAACTGGTGCTAAACTGAGTTTGGAACATCTTTCCTTAGGTCCCTTCTCTTTTCAAGCACTGCATTAACCCTGGTCTTGTTACAATTGTTGAGACAAAGGAAATAGAAGATGCAACATTTCCAATGGGAGTGGAACTGAATTAGTGGGTAGGAACAATGGTGGGAGTCCACCCACTAGTTAGCATGATGTCCCCAATCTAACATTTATTTATTTATTTATTTATTTATTTATTTATTTATTTATTTATTTATTTATAACATTTGTATGCCACCCACCTCTGGGTGGCTCACAAGCACCAATAATAATGACATGAAAGGAACCAGTGATCCTGGTCACAGCAGCAACAGCCCACATTTACCAAATGGTAGGTTGCTGAAAATGGATCATGCTTCCCACACACCTGCTCTGCTGTGATAAATAATCCAGGAATGCCCCTTCCTGGGCAGAGTATGGGAAGTCTGACTGGTGGTTGGTTGATGAACAACCAATGTATTCAAGCTTTGGAGAGTAAGTCTCCCAACAACTCAGAGTGCTGGGTTAAACATCATGTTAACAAGCCAGGTACATTTACAACCCAGCAAAGTCAGTGGGCACCTGGGATCTGCCATGAATACTCACTCCTGCTGCATTTCCAAACACCCACTATTTATTTATTTATTAGATTTATATCCAACTTTTTTCTTATGAACTCAAAGTGGCTTCTCCTCCTCGCTGTCTTATCCCCACAACGACAATCCTGTATGGTAGGTTGAGCTGAGAGTCTATGGCCCAAAGTCACCCAGTTGATTTTTGGTCCCACACTCTTAACCACTACACCACACTAGCTCTCTTTATGCTTTATTAATAAAATACCAAACACATGAACAGGGTCAGTGTTTTCCAATGTATTCTGTAGAATGAAGAAAATGGGCTGAAGTTTGAGACACACTTCTTCCCATAACCTGTTCCCAGTATAAAGGGGCAGATTTGTTTCCCTACTCAATTTTAGTCATGGATGCAGCTTGTTTTCTTTTCTCCATATAAATCAATGGCATCTGTTTACTTCTATGGGGCAAAGTAAACAGGATGTAACTGGTAGAATACCTCTCCCTCTTGCAATAGGCCATACTCTAGTCCCATTTCCAAAGAGCAAGTACTGTTCTCCTTAAGAACTCTCATGCCTTCTTCTGTTATAGCAAATTTGTACCTTCTAAAGCTACTTCTGTGAGCTGAGTGAAGTACTAAGTGTTGCTACTGGTGTGATGCAAATATTCCTGGATCCTGAATATTATGGAAAGCTAAGAATAAGTTCATTCAGGATTGTTGTATTACTACTTTCTTGGTATTCTTATTTTTCCTACTGCATTTATATACTTCCTTTCTTTTAGTTTGGACTTTTCTTTTAGTTTAGTTTGGAGTTGAATAAATACTTTGCCTAGCCTATAGGTCAGATCTTCTCATGTGTCTAGCCATTTGGGCCACATGCTACTAAGGAGTGGTAACTGGGAAAAACAGGACTCAGTCCAGCTTGGTGGTGGCACCCAACAGCCTTTCTCAGTATTAGTTCTTTATTTTGAGAGTTAAGTTAAATTCTCATCAAGTTCTGTTTAAGAATTGTGGAATATAAGAAGCTGATGGCAGCATTCACATGCATAAACTAAAGGTGGTTAGTCCCAGCCTGGCCAGATGGGAAGCTTCTGTGAAGACTTGTTATTCATTTCTATAATGGGGGAGGAAAATAAATGACTATATACCGGGAGGCAAACTTCTAGCAAACTAGCAAAACCTCTACTACCCCTCTGACAATGGCAGTTTAGGGATTCTCTACATGAGGCATTTAACCCTGTGCTTTCCCAAGGGTTCTTTTGCTTCCCTCTCAGCCTTTTTGTACACCTCCTTATACAACAAAGGTGATGCTGTAATACAGAGTGGAATTTAGACTTCAGAGTAGACTTCCTTAGCATGCAGTGGTATCACCCACGAGGATATTTGCATTATCCTTGCTCAAAAAAAAAAAAAAAGTACAAAAAAGGCAGGAAAACATGGGAGTGGCACTGGAAGGAGGATGACATTATATAAAACACCCAAAAACTTTTGTGAATGAGTGAGAGATCATCAGCACATAATATATGCCTTGTGTAGAAAAGCCCTTAGTCAGGACATCCCCCCATGTCCTTTCTTTGTGTGATCCACTTCCTTCCTTTGTCCCTTCCCCTCTTATTTTGCATCCTCCTTCTGTGCTGGAGGATTCAGGTATAAAGCTGGCTGCCAGTCCTGAAATGGACCTCTGTTGCTTTTGGTTCTGCTTTCATCCTAATACTATATAACTGGAGTACAGCATGGGCAGTTTAGCTTCATGGTGTGCCTCTCCCAATCCCAGTGATCATTGTGGAATGTTGCAACTTGTTAGGATCTCATGCTGATCAATCCCTCCCTCCATTTCTCTTCCATTTTTCCTTCTTAATAAACACCTTGAATTGAGTTCCATGGTTCAATTGTCCCTAACCAAGATCTCACTTGTATAGTTGTAAACTCAGAGCAGTCCTCTCTGAGGATGGAAAACAGAGGGTGTGGCTACGTGGTCTGGCCCTGCTCCCGGCTTCTATGCACATGTCGTGGACAACTTATGGCCTTCCAGATATTTGGGCCTTTATTTGCATCAGCCTAGCTAGCATAACTTAATGGTAAGGGATCGTGGAAGTTATAAAAAGATCAGGATGCCCAGTAGTTGCCTACAGCTGGAATACATGGAAACTGAAACATCCAAATAGGTCTCGAGTCGGCTCAGTCTAGTTTCTCTCGACTAGGTGTGCCCAATGAACCTAGTCTTGCACCTAAACTCCAAAAAGGGCAAAACAAATCAGAAATGCTCCAGGAACTTTATAGTTGAACTTTAACTTCATGGTTTCTACCATAGAAGGCTAATAACTAGAGTGTCCTAGGAAGCACTGCTTGAAGATTTCTGCCTGCTTCTTGGGTTGCTCTAGGGACCATAAAATCTTTTCCTAGAACACTTCTTCTGATGTCAGCAGAGGAAACAAAGTTACACTGTCAGGTTTAGGGGAAGGATTTCTATTATTATTTTAGACTGCAAACTTATGCACATTTACTTAGAGGTAAGCTTTGCTGAACACAGTTGGATGTATCGCTGACTAAACATAGATTATGAACAACTTTATTTCTGCATACCTATTTATACCAGCATTGGATGACCTCCTAGTCTGTCCTTTGTGATATATTACATTTTTTAAAATTTTGGTATCAGTTATAACAAATGTCTCCTGGGCAAAATTATATTGATGAGATTCTATGAAGGAGATTCCTGTATTTGTAGAAGCTGTATCTAGAGCAGAATTCAAACAGATGCTGGTTTTCTCTCTCTTGCAGAATTATGAATCAAGAAAATAAACATGGCACAGTTCCCCTTTTTACGCAACTGTTACAGAAACAGAAAAGTTAGTTGTATTTGACTGCCCTGAGCAACCTTGAACCAGCCAATGTGGTATCCTGACACTGTCATTTTTGACAGGCTCAGAGGCAGGCCCAAATGAAAAAGCTCCTGGTATGAGAACACAGTATTGATGCAAGACCCATGTATGAAACAATGCATTTCTAGGACCGAGTCATTTCTGGTACATTTCAGAGGTTCCCTGAAGGAGAAAGGGGAACTCACTGCCAATAGAAATAGGGTACAGAAGCACTTACAGCCAATCAACATGACACAGATGGAGAAGATCTTTTCTGAGTTGGTATTAGGTGAGACATTGCCGAAGCCTACACTGGTGAGGCTACTGAAGGTGAAGTAGAGAGCAGTTACATATTTGTCCTTGATGGAGGGGCCAGATGAGAGGTCACTGTCATTGTAGCGCTTGCCAATCTGGTCACCGAGATTGTCCAGCCACCCGATCTTATGCTCCATGTAGGGCCGCTCCACATTGCCAATGGCATACCAAATGCAGGCTAGCCAATGGGCAATGAGGGCAAAAGTGCACATGAGCAAGAAGAGTACAGCAGCTCCATACTCAGAATACCGGTCCAACTTGCGTGCTACTCTCACCAGGCGCAAGAGCCGTGCTGTCTTCAGCAATCCGATCAAAGTTGTTGTCTGGAGAGGGGAAGAAACAGCATAAACAAATTGTGTAGGACACAAGAAAGCAAGCTCTGAACTACATGATATGATTTCTGTATTCTATTTAATTTTTTAGAAAATGTGTGCTGGAAGTATCACAACAGCACCTTTTTTAAGAAGTACCATTATAGACTATTCTGGAAACTATTTCCAGAAAGATGTTGGGAGTGAGAAGTTTGGCTGCTTTGGGCAAACAGTCTCATGCACTGCTGGCTGCATCCCAGATGATTTAGAATCAGAATGTGAAACAAATTACAGTGGGACGGGCTAAGTCAAGATTCTGAGATGAAGAAGTGAAGGTGATTATTTTAAGGCCAGATGCTTCGCTGAGCCAGGCAGTTTCTGGGAATGACCAAGATGTACAGCCAATGGAAGGGTTCTTTGAAGGTGAGGAATTCTAAGGTGTAGACCATCCCTCTCAATCCCATGGTGAGGTGTCAGCAGAGGTGGGAGACTCAGTTGAATGAGAAGCACATGGGGAGGAGGTGTGCATGCTTTCAGAAAGCGGCTTCCAAAAGGATAAGGCTCCAGGCATGTTCCTAAGCAGAGTTCCTGCAGGTAAGCACTATATTGGGTTCAACAAACCACTCTGTGCATGCTCAGAGATTTGTTCTGGGTAATTTGTATTTGGGAGCAATAAAGCAAGTCTTACAGGGAAAATGGTCTGTGGCTTGCTCGAAGGAGGAACCTTGGCTTGTGGCTACAGTCCTCCTACCAGTTTCTTTTTCCTAAAACAAACCAGTTTCTCTTTTACTATTGCCATGTTATTTCATTTCCCCTGTTTCTCAAGACAACTGTGTGACTTTATAAGATTTTATTATGAAACTGCTACAATTACTTCCTGAGGTCAAAATCTCTCCTAAGCATTTTAAGCATCTCTTTTTAAAGAGAATTTGCCAACAGAAATTCCAATTAAGCCTATATTCCCCCCAAGTAAGAGGCCAGATTCTCACTGAATTCTTGTATTCTCTAGCTTACAAGAGGGCAGGTGCATCTTCAAGAAGACCCCATGGACCTACAGATCTTTCCAAATCTATCCAAAATCTTTTGGGTGCTGATGCCAGCCAGCATCTAAAGGATTCTGAGTGGACTTTGTGGCAGTGCAGATTAGAACCTCTCCACTATCCCAGTGCTGTTGTGGAAAGTAGTAAGAGCTCCATCCATACAGACCATAACCCTTTCAGAAGCTTCTAGGCACTGCCACATGCTAATCAATTAACTGATGCATACCTGAAGCCTAAAGGACTCAAACCTGTACATAATGCAGAGATTTCTTCCAGAAGTTCTTCCCTTGGAGATTTCAGTGAGTTCTCTATGGTGGGCATGTAGTGGGCAATAATGTGTACTTCCCCTTATATCTGGAAGCTCAGAACAGTGACATGGATTACAAGGTTTTAAATGCTCCACACCGCAAAGGCGAACCTTTATATGTCTTACCTCATCTGATCCAGAGCGGAAGATGAGCAAATCAAAGGGGATGGCAGCCACCATGTCAATAAGAAACCAACCCTTGAAGTAGTGGATAGCAATCTTTGCTGGATGGCTTACTACCTCATCATTGATATTTACATAAGTGGTGCGGAAGTTGATGATAATGTCAACAATAAACATGATGTCCACAATAAGGTCAATGATGTAGAGTGGGTCACACGTGTAGCTGCAGTTTGAGAGCTTCTCTTCCTGCTCTTCATTGAGCAGGAAGGCAGCTGAGTAGGGTGTGAACACAGCTGTGTAGATGACTAGCAGCAGGATCAGCCAGTCCCATACTGCCTTGAAAGGACTGTAGTGCAGGATGGTCCATCGGTGAATGCGTGGAGCCTGTAGCTTGTATTCAGGGAGAACATCAGCTCCCAGTGACAGGACCTGCCAAAGAGACAGAGTCAGTGAATTATATGTACAGTCTGGGTGCGGTCCTGGCTAGAGTCCTGCAGCCATAGAAACTAAAGACAGCAGCTGGAATTAACTGTATAAGATGGGTACTTTTGCATCAAGGAAGAAAGACTGAAATAGAAGCAAAATATATATGTATATATAACAGGGAGAAAGGGTCTGGAAGCTATAAAGTGGGACACTTAGGGAGTATCTGAAGCTTTAAAAATCTTTTTTAAAGGTTTTTTGTTAAATGTCACCCTAGAAATTGTAAGGTAAGACATTTCATTAAAAAGTTCCAACACTGTTCAGAAGGCTCGCTTTATAGCCTCTTCTCTTTCTAAAATGCTTCTTACTACTTAGGCCACCAATCTATTTTAATGCATTTTAGAAGCTCAAGGCAGCAACTTCTCGAGCAGCAGAAAATAAGTGCTAGAAACTTGCTTTAAAAATACCCCCACTCCACAAATGCATAGGCCAGTCCTCTAGTTTCAGCACACAAATATTCAAAACAAAAGCTAATGGAAGAGCACCACTTGTTGCACACCAGTCAGAATGACGCTCACCGACTATGTGCTTGAAAGCCATCAGCCAGTACACAGCAATAGGTGAAATGCCAGCATGAAATAACGGGTCCAAGTCTCTACCTCTCCACCACATAGACTGCACAAGCACATTACCAGGACTGCTTGACCCTGTTCACTCTCTGTAGTGTGCAGGTGGTCAGCAATGGTTACCTTCAACCACAAACTGCAGGAGTCTCAGACAGGGATTTAAATCCTCTGGCCTGTGTGTAGAACTCATACTCCCCAGAAGGGCTGGCCTGTCAGACAACGCTGTGCATGCAAGGGAACAAGAGGCCAGCAAGAGGCGGTGGGAAACAAGGCTAGTTGACCTGTGTAATGCTCTCATTGATTGACTCATGCATGGCTGAATCTGGGAATGTACCCTGGCTTCAAACGTGGGACCTTCTGCAGAAGGAACCAGAACTCTTCTACCAGATTAAGGCTCTACTTGCAGGCCATGCAGTGGTGGTATGTATGATCAGGTCTGGAGGACAGGGGCTGGGGGAAATGGGAAAGGTTGATCAAATTAGTACTATGAAAAGAATGTACACAGAAAAAAAATCACTCATTCATGAAAACTGAGACAGAATGTTTAAAATACATACAAAGCACTTCTGAGTAAGGCAAGTTTAACATTTACAATAATTTGCATAAGTGGCTTTCACAAATTATTCAAAAAGATGAATTGAAGGTAGGTTTACTTGCCAAAAAGAGTCAGAAATACAAAACACCATATTCAGAGGGCATTTCACATCTTAGCAGTACCCTTCAGCCTTGTCTACCAAGACTATGAGGGTTCCTGAGGTCTGGTATACATCTTGGCACAACTCAGATTTCTGGAAGTAACTTGGTTATTGATAAAGAGGGATAGAGCCCAATGAATTTAAGAGGGCCCATAGCGCAACCCATACGAACTGCATCTGGATCCTGATATGATTGAGCCTGAAACAGGACCTTTCAAAACTCCTGAGTTAGGAACCTAAGTAATCTGGAACTGAAGTGGACCCCACCTAGTGGCAAACTTCCTTGTAATGTTGTGGTATGAATTAAGCAATTTTAGACCCTGGCCTTGAAGGTTTTATTCCCCCACCCCCCCCCACCCCGCAACCTTTAAATAGCTATGTGGATTTCTTCAGTTGTGAAGCAAATAAGTAATATTCCTCTCCTCCCTAATCCATAACATTCCATGATCTAAAATTGCTTCTGTCTACTTGATATGCTGGACCACCCATGCAAACATTTAAAAAACCCACTTTGTCTGCACTGTTTAAAAAGGTAAATACTCTGAACATGTACAGTCTTGCCCTTTAAAATGAATTAAATGATGGCAGCACAGGAATAAAAAAGAGTATGCTTCTGTTGTCCTCTTGATAGGAACATTTACTTGGAAATAATCACCCTTAGAACAGGGCAGGGAAAGAAAGTAGTGGGCATTCCGCAACCTTTTCTACTTGGAGGAGAGCTTTTAAGAGTCTTCTTTCTGATGGAAATGGCAGGCAATATGTGATATCTGATTATGCTTTCAACTGGGATTTCTAGTACTGGTATCCTGGCCAGTTTCCAACCAGAACATCTGCTGGGGCTTAGGAAGTGCCTTGCAATGCACTGTCCTAAGGTAAGTTTCTAGGTAAGTTTCAGAGGTGGTGGCAGAGAGTGTTTCATGAGTGTTTCAATCAAATGCTCGCAAAACGTTTGTGAAAGCTTGATACGAACTCTCATGAGGCTTGATCCCATTCAGAGCAAGGAAACAGATGCACATGGACCCCTAGCTCCATCAACACCTCTGAAATAAGTGGACTTTGCTTTAAGGAACAATCTTCAACTACTTTATAATCTCCTATTGATCACTCATTATAGTGTAAGGATAATTTCCTGGGTAGCATTCCTTCCTCAGCCTTTTATATGAGGGTTGATGTCCTGGTTTCCTCATGTTGCATTGTTAAGTAGCCACTTCTTTTTATGGAAACCTTGTTCCATGTCTTTTCAACTCTCCACTTTCTCTCTCCCCATGATCAGAACCCCTAATCCTGAACCTGGGTTCTCAGCAGAATGGGCAGGCCTTCTTTGGAGCCCACAACATACCTGCAAATTGAGATTTTGAATTACGATCCAGTTTAAAATAAAGTTTGTTTAAGCCATCTACATAAAAACAAGGACCCCACAGAATCCTAAATTCTAGGTATGCTGTTTACCTCCTGAAATAATGATTCATTAACATTATCTATTGTTTGGAGGAGGCAAAGCGTCTAATTCCCAAGAGCTCAGATGCAAACTTCACAGATCCTTCGCAAAATGCCCACAAAAACAGCCCAGATTTGAGATATACATTTCATGGCAGTAGCATTATTTCTAAGGCAGTAACCACAGCTGGGTTACTAGAAATGCACTGGTCTAAACTAGATATATGGAAGTTCTTTGGTTTCCATGAATTTGGCTCAATTAGTATTCTCTTATATCTCAAAGGACAGAGAATAACTGAAATTCTAGAGACCTAAAGGATACCTAAAACTCCAGAAAAACAAGTGGATGAAAAACATATTTTTTGCTGACTGAAATATCTGTTGTGCTACTACTCTTACCAGGGATTTTTCCTGCATAAGAGCTGGACTAGATAACCTTTATGATCCCTTCCAACTCTGCTCTTCTAAGACAGCCATATTGGGTTAATCCAGTGGCCTGCCAGCCATTGGCCAAGGCCAGCGAGTCACCTTCCCAAGTTTACACGGCAGACAGGACAGCACAACCCACCTTCTGATTCTCTGTTTGTAACTGAGAAAGCTGGTCTTCTGGCTACTGCTGTGACCAGTGGCCATGGATAACTCTCTGCTCTTCCATCTATTTATGTAATATATTTTGGACCCATCAGTGTCCATCAGAACATTTTCAATAATATGGTAAGGTGAACTAATATTTGTCTTAAAGATTGCCTACTGAATTCAGTAATTAATATGTCTCAGCATATGAATGTAAATTAAGTGGTGACAGCATCACAGACAGAAATAATGGTACCTCATTCCAAGTTGTTTGTGACCTAAATAAATTTGAAAGGAAAGGAAAGGAAAGGAAAGGGTAACTAGTAATAAGCAACTTGAAAAAGACAATGCTTGTCATTCAGATGGGTTTAGGGAAGATAGGCGTTTGGAGGGTGTGCCACAGGAAAAGCACCTGGTAACCAAGTTTGACAGAGTTTTGCTACAAATTTCAGTGATTTACTGTACAGTCTTATGTATGTTTATTCACATGTAAGGCTATTATATTCACATTAGTACTTAATGATGTCCACCTTTTATTTCAGGGGGGAAAAAACCTTAGTACACAAATATGAGAGAAATGCTCAGCTTACAATCAATTCGTCTACAGTAGAAAAAATCTGATAGTAACAATTCTGTCTGCTCAATGCATAAAGGTGGCATGACCCTGTGGCAGGGGTCCTCAACCTTTTTCAACAGGGGGCCAGTTGACAGGTGCCAGCGGTGGGCGCGGCTGCCAAGGCGGTGCCGGCAGAGGGGTGTGGGCCGGTGAGGGGGCGGGGGATGGGGGGGGGCACACGGGGCAAGGCGCCGGCTTGCTCACGAGGAGATTGTTTTCTCCGAGTGAGTCCAAAACAACCTCCTCGTGAGCAAGCCGCCGCCGGGCGCGCGCACAGCGAGGCGACGCGAGGAGATAATTTTCTCCGAGCGAGTCCAAAACAACCTCCGAGCGAGCAAGCCGTGTGCCTGCGCATGCACACAACGAATGCAAGACCTCTGGGGCGGGCCAGTTAAATGAGCATGGCAGGTCGGATCTGGCCCGCGGGCCTTGGTCCTATGGTATCCATACAAGGCAAAAAGTGGGTGTTGCTAGGTGTAAGGGTTGTGCTGTGCTGTTAGGTATTTTGCTGTGCTGATACAGCATGTGCAGCAAATTGGGATGGCGCAGAGACACAATGCCAGGCCTTGCACAAGTCAAATGTGGGTAGAAGGGAGAGTGACAACCCTAAGAACAATCCGAGCCTTACCAGTACCTGAGAACCATGCTTGCCCTGGCCCATACTTTCATGGCAGCTGTAAGTATTAATTTAAAAGCAGCAGTATAAATACTGAGCAACAAGGCTTGTAGACCACAAGATTCTGGGAATGAGCGGAATGTACCAGGGTAAGTACTGAAGGAGAAGAGTAGCACTGCAACACAGCTTGGGCATTCTGTCAATATATAGCAAGTATATGGTTTGCAGTTCCATTCCCAAGATCATGCTCACATCTATGAAAATGAGATGGCTTCTCTCCCTGCTCCCACACACTCTTGCATGCAGAGGAGACATTGAACTGCAAAGGACATTTGGGAGCCTGGTAGAAATTAATCAAAATCAATCAATTGCTGGCCCCTGGATTGAAAGGGGAAAAAAACAGTCAAGAGGAAAGAGGCCAGTTATGTGGCTTTTATGGCAAG